ATTGAACAATATGGAAAACACTTTGAACGATTGGTATTGAAAATTGTGCACCTGTGACTTTAATGTAAGCACAGCAGGTATCATGGAATTCGAATTGTTTGCTTGGAAATTGCAGATCTCGTGGTGGTCTTGTGATGCATAGTTTGTAAAGCACGGAACTTGTACGCCCCCAGTAAGTGATTATCACACTGCTGGAGGGTATAGAAAATGGTATATAAGTTGGAAGGAGTCCGAATAAAATTTGGCTTCAGTCCTGATCAGACTGTTCCCAGAAGAACTGCCTCCGAGTAGTCTCTTCTCGCCGTCCAGATTCTCTGGTGTGGGTCCTAACCCACCCTTGGTCAGTGCTGGTCACCGACAGCCCTCCAAAAATATAATCTGGGTTTTTTCTGGGGACCCCCCCCATATAGTCAATAAATGGAGAAGCCAGCACTTGATCAGGCTCACTGATCCCTACACCAACCCCTCTGTCATAGCACCTTTAAGCAAATTCATACACTCAGCAATGGGAACTAAATGGCAAATTATAGCTATGAGTCTGACAAACTCACATCACTCAGTTTGATCACTCACACAGAAACCTTCCCACCAACAGCAACTGGTTCTCAGCTGTCAGAGGCCAAACTGGGTGACAGCAGAGAATAATAATGGTTAGGAGCATAGAACCAGCCAGGCACAGTGGTTCATGCCTGTAATCCCAACACTCTGGGAGGCCAAGGCAGGAGGATTGCTCAAGCACAGGAGATTGAGACCAGCCTGGGCTACACAGCAAGACCTCGGCTCAACAAAAAAAAATTCTTTTTAATTAGCTGGGTGTGGTGGTACATGCCTGCAGTCCCAGTTACTTGGAAGGCTGAGGCAGGAGAATTGTCTGAGCCCAGGAGGTAAAGGCTGCAGTGAGCCAGGATTGCACCACCGCACTCCAGCCTAGGTGACAGAGTGAGAATCTGTCTCAAAAAAAAAAAAGAGCATAGAACCCTTGCAGTAAGGCAACCTGGGCTCAAATTTCAACTTCACCACTGATAGGCTGTATGGTTGTAGTAAATTACCTAACATCTCTGTACATCAGTTTCCTCATCTGCAAAATAGGAATTTGTAAAATTGCAACTACTTACCTTGTACTGTTATAAAGATTAAATGAGTAAACACATGTAAAGCATTTAAAACAGTATCAAGCATATATTAAGTATATATGTATAAGTAACTATTACTTTTACTATTTAGGGCAGACCAAATGTTAAAAACAACAACAACAACAAAAAGGCCAGGCACAGTGGCTCAAGCCTATACTCCCAGCACTTTGGGAGGCCAACGTGAGGTGATTACCTGAGTCCCTGGGTTTGAGAACAACCTGGGAAACTTGGCGAGACCTCATCTCTACAATAAATCAAAAAATTAGCTGGACATGGTAGTACACGCCTGTAGTTCCAGCTGCTTGGAAGACTGAGGCAGAAGGATTGCCTGAGCCCAGCGGGTCATCACTGGGGTGGCCGTGAGAATGCCACTGCACTGCAGCCTGAGTGACAGAGTGACTCCAACTCAAAAAAAAAAAACTGACAACTTCAGCAAAAATCCTGCCCAAAATGAGAAGTAACTCATTAGTGGAAAAAGCACCAGGCCAGGAAACTCAGTTGCCCACGCGCCAACTAGGCTACCAACAAGTGACCCTGCACAAGTCACTTCAACTCTCTAGAACTCAGCTTCCTCAGTGTATGTGAGGAATTTAACTATAGTCTATGATTTCTGCTGCTGAGTTCTCAAATTAAAGGCTCTTAAAAGTTACTTATATTCACTTAACACTTATTAGAATGGCCATTATCAAAAAATAACAAGTATTGACGAGGCTGTGGAGAAACTGAAACACTTGTGCATTGCTGGTGGAGATGGTGCAGCTGCTATAAAAAATTGTAAGGCAGTATCTTAAAAAATTAAACATAGAATTGCCACGTGATCCAGCAGTTCTACTTCTGAGGATACATTCAGAAGAACTGAAAGCAGGGACTCTAGTGATATTTGATTATCCCTGTTCGCAACAGCATTATTCACAATAGCCAAAAGGGGAAGCAAACCAAATAATGGATAAACAAGACGTGATATACATCTACAAAGGAATATTACTCAGCTTTAAAAAGGAGGGAAATTCTTATGCACACTACAACATGGATTACCTTGAGGATATTATGCTAGGTGAAAAGAGCCAGTTACAAAAGGACAATGTTATATGCTTCTGTAAATATAAAGTACCTGTAAGAGTCAAATTAAAAGACAAAGTAGGATGGTGGTTGCCAAGAACTGGGAAGGGAGAAATGGGAGAAATGTGAAGTTAGTGTTTAACAGGTATAGCGTTTCAGTTTAGGAAGATGAAAAGGTTTTGGAGATGGATGGTAGTGACGGTTGCACAACATAAACATACTTAAAATGGTTAAATCGTAAAATTTTAGGTTATGTAAAATTTTTTTTTTTTTTTTTGACTCGGTGTCTCACTGTTGCCCAGGTTGGAGTGGTACGATCACAGTTAACCGCAGCCTCAACCTCCTGGGCTCAGGTGATTCTTCCACCTCAGTCTCTCAAGTAGCTGGGACTACAGGAATGCACCACCATGATGGGCTAATTTGTTTATCTTTGGTAGAGATGAAGTATACTGTGTTGCCCAGGTTAGTCTCAAACGCCTAAGCTCAAGTCATCCTCTTGTCTCAGCCTCCCAAAGTGCTGGGATTACAGGCGTGAGCCGCCATGCCCAGTTACAATTATTTTTAAAAAGGTTCTTATATTGATTATTCTGCCACATTACTCTCAAGAGGTATCAGAGGATACCAAGACCAAAGGCTTTCAAAGTTTGGCCAGGTCCATCTTGCCATTAAACGATACACCCTTCTGCAAAGAGCAAATTTCTAAATATGCACTGGAAGAAATAAAAAGCAACTGAACTAGCTATTAGGGGGAGGGGACAATCAGACCAACACTATTAAGAGACTCTAAAACAAACTGTCCTCTCAAAGCATTTAAAATGTAAAACAGCCTTTCCAGTATCCAACTGAATCATAAACACCTGGACCAACATTTTGAACACTGCTCAGAACATTTAATATCTGTTGGTGATCAATGACAACTAGATTAGTCTACACTGAATGAATCTCAAACATGAGCTGCATGATCTGGCTCCCACTTACTTCTCCAGCCTGATCTCACCCTGATGTTAGCCTTGCTCTCATGCCCTCCATCTGTCACACCGGGTTTACTTCAGTTCTTCACCCTCATCTGGCTTCCTTCTGCCTCCCCGACTCTTCTCTCTTCTGAACCCTGAGAGCCCAGCTCCAACATGACATTCCAGCTACTCTGTTCAAAACACTCAGCCTCTGTAAGCTCCTCCCTTACCATCATCCACCTGGCTAATCACTTGACACATGTCAGTCTCCCCCACTAACTTCTGGCTGCCTCATCTCCAGCATCTAGCAAAGGGCCCCATGCTCAGTAATGACTTCTTAAAGGAATAACCTCACCAACAGGGCTCTGGCATAGCATGAGCTATTCTACCAGTCTGTGTGGGAAACAAAAGTAAAGAGTAAACTAAACAAGTAGAAAGCAAGCCCATCGCTGGCGAAGCACACCTGCAGAAGGCACCGGTGCGTCATGGCTCGATAGCAGGCTCTGTGGCTCTTGACGGTCGGCCTCTCCCCGAGGCAGTAGCCCCACCTCTTGACCATGTGAAACCGCTTGGCGTGCCAGATGTGAGTTTCCAACCATATGTTCTTCCTCTGTCTGCGGTTAAATTCTAACATCCGGTTTATGTGACATCTCCGAGCTTTATGGCATTTATTTTTTGAATGTTCTTTTTTCTGATGGACAGCTTTCTCGGCCTGTAATTTCAAGAAGAGAAGCAGATGCTGGCTTGTAAGAATCTCAAAACAAAGTTAACTGTTAGGAATTCAAACAATTAACTTTGGATTAAGTATAGACTCCATTTGTTTGCTTGATTTTTTTTTAATTTGTTTTTTGAATCAGAGTCTCACTCTGTTGCCCAAGCCAGAGTGCAATGGTATGATCATGGCTACTGCAGCCTCGACCTGCTGGGCTCAGCAATCCTTCCGCCTCAGCATTCACACTTCCAAGTAGCTGGAATTACATGAGTGCACTGCCATGCCAGACTAATTTTTTAATGTTTTGTTTTTGAGTTGGAGTCTCATTCTGTCGCCCAGGCTGGAGTGCAGTGGCACACTCACGGCTACCCCAGCGTCGACCTGCTGGGTGCTGGTGATCCTTCTGCCTCAGTTTTCCAAGTAGTTAGAACTACAGGTGTGTGCTACCACGCCAGGCTAATTTTTTATTTACTGTAGTGACAAGGACTCACCAATTTGCCTGTGGGCTCAGGAAATTCGCTCACCTTGGCCTCCCACAGTGCTGGAATTACAGGCTGAGTCACCAAACCCGGCCTAATTTTTTAGTTTACTGTAGAGACAGGTCTTGCCAAGTTGCCCAAGCTGTTCTTGAACCCCTGGGCTCAGGCAATCCTCTCGTCTCTGCCTCCCAAAGTGCTGGGATTACAGGGGTGAGTCACCACATCAGCCTTTCTTAATTTTTTAACTTGGTGATTTCTCCAGTGTAAGTAAAGAAGGGAGACAATGGAAAGAATCAAGATTTTAGAACTAGAAAAATCTTGGAAGGTAGCACAATTTTATCTCTCACTAACTGGGCAACTTCTTGAACTATGAAGATTAGAATACTCACAAAATGTTCAACACAGCAACACAAGCTTAATGTGGCTATTAATATTAGACAGCAAGAGAGAATAAATCAACTGCTAACTTCTTGTTGTTGCTGTTTTAACCTATAAGATTGTTGCTGTTTTAACCTGTAAGATTGTAACCAAAACCAAAAACAAGACTAAAAATACAAAAGTGTGGAAAAAACACACTTTCATTTCAGGTGGGCTACAGACAGCAAATGCTAAGTGCCATCACTGGGAAATAGACCTTACATTAAGTCTAGAAAATACAAAATTCCTGGTTAGTTTTCACTTGCTTTTTGGTTTTGTTTTTTTTTTTTGCAGAGACAGGATCTCACTATGTTATTAGGCTGGCCTTGAACTCCTAGACTCAAGCAATCTCTCACCTCAGCCTCTCAAAATGTTGGTATTACAGCATGAGCTACCTCACCGAGACAGTTTTCACTCATAATCTCTTCCATAGCTAAGCTAAACCTTTGTGGAAAAAAAAATCCTTCTCCGTAAGTTTGTGAGTCCTTAAAGATCAGGACTTTATCTTGTTGAATTCTAACACCACCACCAGCATACCAGGATATAGAAGGACACTCAATAAATAAATTTAGAGTTAATTAGTAAAGACATGGTTATCTTAAGACTGTTCAAATCAAGAATGCCGGTGAAGCCAAAACACAATTAGACATGTACAAAACTTATCAAGTTCAAGTTTTCAACTTCAAAAAAAGTCAAAAGGCGAATGCCAAGCACGATGCCGCTTTTTTTGTATTACTGTCTCATGCCAACCGCACCCCCAAAACACAGATCCAAAACCACTTGTCTGATAAGATGGTCAGGATTTTACTTTAAATCTGGGACTATTCAACACCCTTAAAACAGAGAGGCTCCAAATGCCACATTTCAAGGCAGCTATAATATACAACTGTCTGCTAATTTGGCTTGGTGGAGTGGGGATGGCTGGATGATGATTAAATCAAAAAATATGCCCCCAAAAGCATGCTATAATAGGCATGTTGTTTTCTAGTTTTCATTTTAATAAATTCCATTAAGTCAATACTTCTCAATTTCTTGTAGGAACTACAAACCTAAACACTGACACCAAGTGAAGCGCCTACCTCTTTCTGGGCAATCTCCTGTAACCGTCTTGGAAGGCGTTTGACATTGTGGCTCATGGCTCTACGTCGCATGTGCCGTGGCAATGTCTGGAAAACCAGCGAATTAGAAGACTTCTGAGTCACGGCTTTTAACATAGCACTGATCTCAGCAGCTCGTGCTTGAGCAAAAGTAGAAGCTGTTGAAGGAAATGAGGGTATCACTAAAGAGTCATGAATCAATACTTTTTCTGGTATTTAGTAGGAAGACAGGAATATTATGCAGCCATAAAGAAGGACAAAACTATGGACTTCTCAGCAAATTGGATGGAATTGGAGAGAATTATTCTTAGCAATCTATCACAGAAACAAAGATCCCAATACCACATGTTCTCATTCATAAATAGGACCTGAACATTAATCACAAAAGCACAAGGAAGGGATTGGCAGTCACACTACATGGCCAGGGATTGGGGGGAGGGAGGGAGATACGTAACAACACAAAGGGTACCTGATCCTAAACCAGGAGAAGTGAGGACCAGTTGGAAGCCCAAACTTCACCTGCACATACATTACTTGGGTACCTAACCCTTACTTGTACCCCACATCTTTATAATAAAGCTAAAAAACAAACAAACAAGAGTTAAGACAGATTTGAAGTACATGAACTTACAAATCACCCACCAACCTAGGATCCTATTAGATGAACACTGGTGGTAGCTATTCCTGTGTGAGATACCATTGTGAGATTATTCTTCAACACTTACTGTTTTTAAAATTTTCTACAAGCGTTCAGCTTTGCTCTTCTAATCAGAAAAAAAGACCTTTAAAAGTTTTTGCAAAAAGTTTTTTAAAAACAGGCATTCACATGTATCTAACACATGCAGTATATTTACATGCAGATAATCACAACCATTTTAAGTGCAACACTCACAAAGGAAAACAAAAAACAAAATCTTAGCAGTGATTTTTAACTTCAAGCCGTCTTTTTCTAAATGTTTTCTGCTTTTTCCAAATATATAACCAATATTATTAGTTTTCTTTATTGAAAAATAGACTTTTTTTAAAAGAGAGTGCTGGGGAAATGTGAGTGACTTGTAAACTGATAAGTGAAAGGGAGCAAAACTAACGAAGGGCGAGCCATCAGGCCCAAGGTAGCTATGGCCAAAGCATAAAAAGGGACCAAAATGGAAGGCTGAGGTGGAAGGATCACCTGAGCCCAGCAGGTCGAGGCTGCCAGTGGCCGTGAGCGTGCCACTGCACTCCAGTCTGGGTAACAGAGTGAAATTGTGACTCAATAAATAAATAAAGTAAAAAAAGAAAAAAAGAGAGAGAGACCAGAAGGCATATGCAAGGTATGTACAAGGAATACAGGGTTTACTATAATGGGAATATATAGTGGGCATATAGTAGTGAATGCCACTGAGGAGTGGTGAATGCAGGTTTGATGCCAGAAAAGGCCTGAAGACAGGCCCTTTAAATAAAGGTCTTGGTTGCCATTAAGAGTTTATTACAGGCCAGGCTCGGTGGCTCTGCCTGTAATACCAGCACTTTGGGAGACTGAGGCGAGTGGATTGCCTGAGCCTGAGGGTGAAACCTGACCTCTACAATAAATCAAAAATGAGTCGGACGTGATAGTGTGCCTGTAGTTCCAGCTACTTGGAAGGCTGAGGCGGAAGGACCGCCAGAGCCCAGGAAGTCGAGGCTGCGGTGGCCAGGAGTGCACCACTGCACTCCAGTCTGGGTGACAGAGTGAGACTCTAACTCGGAAAAAAAAAAAAAAAGAGTTTATTCCATTTTATTTCATCTTTGAAGAATGCTGTGCTGAATGTGGGCAAAACATTTAAAAGGAGTGGAGGGTTAGAACAAAGGGGAACAGAGACTTGTAAGATTGCTAAGAGAAAGGGAGAGAAAGTAATGAAGGGCGAGCCATCAGACTCAAGGTAGCTATGGCCAAAGTCCAGGTCTGAAGCAGAAGAAGGAGAGGAGACAGGTGGGGGAGGCAGAGTCAAGATACTGAAGAAGGTCATTTGTTGGCATACATGGCTATACTAGAAACAAAGAGCTCATAATACAATCAAACTTCACTTCTTTGCAAATACATACCGGTTATATACTTGGGAATCTCCTGAGCCGTGCCCTCGGGACCTGCCTTCCATCCTCCCTTTTTCCTGAACATTACTTTAGAGGAAGACTGCTCATTCCCATCAGGCTCAGGCAGCGAATGGGGGGTGATTTTGGTTTGCCGCTGTCGTGAAGTTCCAGAATGAAGCTCTGGTATATTTCCAAAAAGAAAACAAAAAGAAATATGTCACTCTTAGATAAAAATTACAGTTAAAAACTATTATTTGTTGGGTGGCAATGCTGATCGGGTTTCTAACCCTACAACCACCCAATAAGGTGGCTATTACTATCTCTTTTTAAAGAATAATCTTGGTTAGAAAGGTGATTTAACTTGCCCAAGTTCACAAAGCTAGTAAGTAGGTAGCACACTAGGGAATCATGTCACATGACATTTAAAGAACCTTGGATATAACAGATCCAGGAAAATTTTTTGCCATATAACAGTGCAACGTGAATTTTAAATCTAAGCTCCTGGCCATGGTCTGTGTTTGTGTCCCTCCTCCCCAAAATTCTTTTTTTTTTTTTTTCGAGTAAGAGTCTCACTCTGTCACCCAGGCTGGAGTGTAGTTTCACGCTTATGGCTACTGCAGCCTCAACCTACTGGGCTCAGGTAATCCTTCTACCTTAGCATCTCAAGTAGCTGAGACTACAGGCATGTGCCACTATTCCCAGCTAATTTTTTTACTTACTGTAGAAATGAGGCTTCCCCAGGTTGCCCAGGATGTTATCAAACCTCGGGTTCCCTTTCGTCTCTGCCTCCCAAAGTGCTGGGATTACAGGCATGAGCCACCACATCTAGCCCCAAATTCATATGTTGAAATCCTAACCCCCAAGGTGACAGTATTAGGAGGTGAGGCCTTTGGGAGGTGATTAAGTCAAGAGAGTAGAGCCCTCATGAATGGGATTAGTGTCCTTATAAAAGAGGCCCCAGAGAGACCCAAGCTCCTTCCACCATGTGAGGACACAGCAAGAAGGTGTCAACTAAGAACCTGAAGGCTGGCCCTTGTGAGACACCAAACCCACCGAGTCCTGGATCTTGGACTTTTCAGCCTCCAAAACTGTGAGACATAAATTTGTTATTTATAAGCGATCCAGATTATGGTACAGGTTGAGTATCCCTTAGTCAAAATATTTGGGACCAGAAATATTTCAGATTCCCATTTTTTTAGAATTTTGAAATATTTGCACATTTGAGACATTTTGGAGGTGGAACCTATGTCTAAACACAAATTCATTTGTTTTACATATACCTTATGTACATAGCCTGAAGGTAATCTTATACAATGGTTTTAATAATTTTGTTCATGAGACAAAGTTTATGTTCACTGAACCATCAGAAAGCAAAAGTGTCACTATCTCAGCCACCCATGTGGACAATCTCTGGTTGGTTGGCATCACCATCATTCCTGACTCTGAATTTATAGGCTTCTGATAAGCAATCATTTTCTGACACTTATTGACACAAAAGTAGTAAACAGTAAGAAATAAGTACCCTAGGACAGCAATAGTGTTAATACAAGTAAAATAAAAATTATAAATATGCACCATTGAGATCTCTGGCCTGCACATATACCATTTTATCACACTTTGTGGGTGTGCCTGGGTGGGGAAATCTAGGCATGCACAAAAAAGATAAGTCATACCGGAAGAGGGTGAAAAGGTCTTTTTTCCCTTGGGGATTCTAAAGAAATTGTGTGTTGCATGCCTTCATTTTGATGCAACTCATCACAAAAGGTCAGGTGAGGAATTTTCTACTTGTGGTGTCATCTCGGCACTCACAAAGTTTTGGATTTTGGAGCATTTCACATTTCAGATTTTTGGATTAGGGATATTCAATCTGTATTTTGTTACAGTGGCCCAAATGATACTCCCTGAAATACTACAACCCGCATGATTTTGTATGCTCAGTCCTTTGTTCTTATTCTCTGTCTCACCCAAAATTGAGTCACTGTGTTATATTAAGAAGGAATTAAAAGCAAAGTCACTATATAAACGTCTAGGCATTCAAACCATACTGACTTTAAGATAACGTCAAGTACCTGTGAACAAAGGGAGCGATCTGTAGAGAATTTCATAGTGTTCCTGCTTATTTCCATTGTGGTATTAATTATTGAGCCACTATAACCTTGGAACATTGTGAGGTTTAAATGAAGGACTCATCACATGGCATGGTAGAGTATCAATTGGTGGATCTGAATCAAGATCTTATGAATTTAAATCTAAAACTTACTTAATCAGACCCAACAAACACTGTTTTTTAAAGCACTCCAAAAATGTTCTTGGCCACCTGCTTTTGCTATCTTTCTACAGCAGCATTTTCAAAGGACGCGGTGGCTCACACCTGTAATCCCAGCACTCTGGGAGGCCGAGGTAAGAGGTCTGCCTGAGCCCAGGGGTTCAAAAGCAGTATGGGCAACTTGGCCAGACTTTGTCTCCACAATAAATAAAAAATTAGCTGGGCATGGTGGTATGTGCTTGTAGTTACAGCTACTTGGAAGGCTAGGGTGGAAGGATTATCTGAGCCCAGCAGGTTAAGGCTGCAGTAGCCATGAGCATGCCACTGTACTTCAGCCTGTGTGACAGAGTAAGATTCTAACTCAAAAGAAATAAAAATATAAAGTGGCATTTTCTACTGCTACCCCAGTAAGGCAAGTGTCACCTTCCTGTCACTTCACAAGGTTCTCAAATCAGTATACAAATTAAATGCAGATATGACTTTTAGAAAATATATAAGTATAATTTAGTAATAATTGATTTAAGGTAGAAATAAAATAACCAGCTGTAATATATACAGTCAACTTTCATTATTCATAGTAGTTATGTTCTATAAAGTCACAGTGAACACTGTATTAGTAAATACTGAAACACTCCTCCTGGGAAGGATATATACATATCTCAGTCTCATACAGAGCATAATCTTGAATCCTAAAACCAACTCATCCTGGTAGATTCTATACTCTTTATTTTCAAAAGAGAAAACGAAGTTCAGAAGTGTTAAGTGCCTTGCATAACGTCGTCCGACAGCTGAGATCCAACTCCCAGTTAAGCTGCAGCATCTTGCTCTGTTCTACACTGTCTCTTCTGCCTCTACCCTCTAGCCATTTCTGCATGATGGCTGGGAACCTCAGTTGAAATGTATATACAGGTCACTAAATTTTCCCTGCTCTGTGCCTGAACGTTGGCCAAAGCACTACAGGTTACAAATAAACTTTAGCAGGTAGAGAAATTTGCAAACAGAAAGTCTGAGAACAAGGAGGGTCTACCTTATCTGTTTTAACTTAGCTTATTTAAAATTTAGATAAAAGACCATCAAAAGGAGCTGGCAAAAGCAATTTGCTCAAAATGGGAGTGGAGAGAGCATCGTGTATATCTTACCATGTTTTTGAGCTGGGAAAGGTTTCCCACCTCCATTGTGGTGCTTTCCGCCTCTATCAGCCGCAAAGCCAGAAGATAAAGTCACATTAGTGGGCTGGTTTCTCATTTTCTTAGCATGTTTTCTTTCTTTTGCATTAGACATTTCTGGAAAGAAAGTAAAAAATTTACAGGGACAGAACATGCCCATTCAAAAATAAAAACAGCTGGGACATGGTAACTCACGCCTATAATCCCAGCACTTTGGGAGGCAAAGGCAGAGGACTGCTTGAGTCAAGGATTTTAAGACCAGCCTGGGCAACAAGCAAGACCTCATTTCTACAAAAAAAATCAAATGGTGGTGCACCTCTAGTCCCAGCTACTCAGGAAGCTGAAGAGAAGGATCACCCCAGGAGATTGAGGCTGCAGTGAGCTGTGATCATGCCACTGCCCTCAAGCCTAGATGACAGAGTGAGACTACACAACAACAACAAAAAAAAACTTTCATGACTAAAAAATGTGTGTGACTCAAAAATAAGTCTATTGATGGAAGAGACCCTATTCAAGGTAAAAAAAAAAAAAACAAACAAACAAATTAGTTGAAACATTTTATCTTGATCCTTAGGTGAAATAAGAGCTACCTGAATCAATGAAATACAGAACACCCTATTCCAAAAGAAGAAGCTCTATAAAAACTGAACATGAATTACTGATGCTTTCATATCTACTATTGAGATGAGGCCAGCTATGTCTTTAATTTATAATCACAATAGGTAAAGATTTCTATTTAAAGTTAAGGATAGGCTGGTCATGGTGGTAGGAGCCTACAGTTCCAGCTATTCAGGAGGCTGGGGCAGGAGGATCCACTAAGTCCAGGAGTTCAAGGCTGCAGTGAGCTATGATTGTGCTCCTGCACTCCAGCCTGGGAGACAGAATGAGACCCTATCTCTAAATAAACAAATGAAAAACAACAAAAACCTAATGATCCCTGACTGATTTACTCTATAGTTTCCAACTCTCAAATTCAGCAGCCCCTTTTTTTACTGACTCAGTTTAAAACATCTATTTTCTATTTTTTAAATATTTTTTGTTGTTGTTGTTTTGAGCTGGGTTCTCACTCTGTTGCCCTGGCTAGAGTGCAGTGGCACCATCATGGCTCAACTTCCTGGGCTCAGGTGATCCTTCTGCCTCAGCCTTCTGAGGGACTACAGGCACACACCACCATGCCTGGCTAATTTTTTGATTTGTTGTAAAGGCAAGGTTTTGCTATACTGCCTAGGCTGGTCTTGAATTACTGGGCTCAAGCAATTCGCCCTCCTAGGTCTCCCAAAGTGCTGGGATTACAAGTGTGAGCTACTGTGCCCAGCCCTGTTTTCTATTTTGATATTGAATTAATATAACCTACTAGATACATAACTTTTGTCAATATATACCTAAATTATGTCCTATCTGTAACATAAAGACACACTAAAAATTTTAGGTCAGACGTGGTGGCCTCACATTTGTAATCCCAACACTTTGAGAAGCAGAGATGAGAAGATAGCCTGAACCTGGGGGCTTGACACCGGCCAAGGCTCTTGGTGAGACTTCATCTCCACAATAAATAAAAAAATTAGCCATGTGACTGTAGTTCCAGCTACTTGGGAAGCTGAGGTGGAAGGACCGCCTGAACCCAGCAGATCAAGGCTATGGTGGCCATGAGGGTGCCAATACACTCCAGCCTGGGCGACAGAGTGAGACTCTGACTCATACAAAAAAAGTAATTTTAATAAAATAATATGTATTTCTATTTCACCACAACTAGATGATATTATGAAATAGAGATTTTGAACCCAGGAGATCACCATCAATAGGAGGCTGGGGTGGGAGAATCCACTAAGCCCAGGAGTTCAAGGCTGCAGTGAGCTATGATTGTGCCAGTGCCTGTGACACAATTAATTAAGGCACTGGCACAATCAAAGCTGGCGAAGGGTCCTGAAAGCTCCCTCACCCCTGCCCTGTACAACGGTCATTAACTCTTTTGCCCCTGGCCACTCAGTGTGACTATGATGAGATTCAAGTCAGGTAGTTTGGTCCTTTTCACTATTTTCTTTTTTTTTTAGAGAGACAGGGTCTCACTATGTTACCCAGACTGGTCTCAAAGGATCCTCCTGCCTCAACCTCACAAACTGCTAGGATTACAGTTGGAGGCCACCATACTCAACCTCTTTTCACTATTCTTTTTTTTTTTTTTGAATTGGAGTCTCACTCTGTCGCCCAGACTGGAGTGCAGTGGCCGAGCCTCGACCTGCTGGGCTCCGGCGATCCTTCCGCCTCCGCCTTCCGAGTAGCCGGAATTACAGGCATGCGCTACCACGCCCGGCTGATTTTTTGATTTATTGTAGAGATGAGGTCTCTCCAAGTTGCCCAGGCAGGTCTCGAGCCCGCGGGCTCAGGCAATCCACTCACCTCAGCCTCTCAAAGCGGGATTACAGGCTGAGCCACCAAGCCGGCTCTTTTCACTATTCTTAAAACACAAAACAGGGCTGGGTGCAGCGGCTCACGCCTGTAATCTCAGCACTTTGGGCGGCCAAGGTGGAAGGATGCTTGAGCCCAGGAGCTGGAGACCAGCCTGGGCAATATAGCAAGACCTCGTCTCTTTAAAAAAAAATTAACTAATTAAATAAAAAACACAAAACAATTAGAGAATGTGACCACATAAAATACTAAATTTTGTAGTATCGCTCAATAGGAAACTGGAGAAGAGAAAGAAAAAACCGTGAATCAGCAGGAAAAGTCAATGAGAAAATAGAATCTCGGTTGGAATTTGGATAGAGAAGAAAGAATATTCAGGAATCTACTGTGTGAATACAGGAGTGAGGACTCTGGAAGACTAGAGTGGGAAGAGGGAGTAGAGAAAATGATAAGAGTAAGCATTGGGGGAGGTCAGACTGCAGGGTCTTTATTCCAGAAGAAGCCCCAAATCAATGATAAAGATCTGAAGGTTCTTGAGCTGGAAGTAGGAAGGCGAAAAACTTAGCCTTATGTAGGACAAAATGAGAGGGAATAAAGGAGATTTTCTTAAGTTACGTCTTGGAAGCAGGTAGGGCAGAGAACTTACCTTTTTTTACTGTTGCATTCCTAGCACCTAGCAGAGTGCCTTACACAAAGTAGGGGCTCAATATATACTTGTGAATGTATGCGTGCACGCATAAACGAAGCGAAGCGTGCCTATAATGCACATATTAACAAGATACGCAATATATTTAGCCAAATACCATCCCTTCTGACACAGCAGAACACTCACAAGGGATCTGGGTCATTAGCTAGATCGCTATCTTTTTGAAACTAGATCGCAGTCACTAGGGCTCTGCTCAGACAGGAGACCTTGTAAAGCCCAAGAGAAGGGAAGGGAACATGGGAGGGGGGAACGCCTAGATCTCAGCGTGGTCCCCTGAATGACCATGTTATTCCTCCAGGGTGGCAGAAGAGGGGTTACAAGCCCACTCCCAGGACGGCCTCCGCCAGGCGGGGCAAGGAAGGAAATGTCAGACGCAGGGGGCTCGAGCTCAGGGGTCGAGGGAGATGCGGCACCGGGTGGAGGGGCCCCGGGCACAGTCAAGGAAGGACGAGGTCAGAGGAGCAGAGTCGAGGGAGAGAGGATGCGGAGGGGAGCCGCGCCAGGGCCCGCCACACACGCTCCCCCAAACACGCAGGGCTTGGGAGCACCAGCCTCTCACGACCTACCTGCCAGACGCTCGGAGGGATCCCAGGGTCAGAGTGACAAGTCTCCGCGGCACTCCCCACCAGGGCAACGCGCAGCCCGAGCGCGGCTGAAAGGCGCATGCGCGGACCCGGCCGCTTCCTCCACGTGGCCTGGAGGGGCGCCGAGACTACGGCTCCCAGAATGCCGCGCGAGCCCCGCCTCCACGGGCGTCCCTGGGTGGAGACGCGGCGCGCGGGGTCAGAGAGGTGAGAGAAGAGCCCGACGGGTGCAGGGGCTTCCTCTCCCGGAGGTGCAGCAAGAGAGCAGGGTTAGCCATGTCGTCCTTGATCAGAAAGGTGATCAGCACTGCGAAAGCCCCAGGGGCCATTGGTCCCTACAGGTAACGTGGCTGTGGGAGCATTGCCTGGACCCGGGGCGTGCGGGGGTCGGGGGCTCGCGGCTGGCGTCTTGCCAGGTCAGACCTCTGGTGACCAAAACCATCGAACCCGCGAGGAAACCGGGCCCGGAAAGGGGGCAGCGCGCCCGGAGACCCACAGAGATCTGGGAGCCCAAATGGGACCGACTTTGTCCCGCCTGGGGCTCTTTGGCTGTGGAGCCCTCCTGTCATGAGGCTTGGCATATAGCATGCACTAAATTAAAATGTTTATCTTCTTTCCCCCATTATGTATGAATGTCTTTCCCACTGAACTATTTTTACACATTTTTGTACTCCTGAAGTGCTTGACATATAGTAGGCACTCAGTACATCTCTATCATAGTTCAAATGTTTCAACTGTAGAAGTTTTCCCATTTGGGTTCTTTTAACAGTGAGCAGAAACTACAAACTGTATTTTAAAGAGAAAAAATGAACAGTTACAGGATGCACTTTAGGAAAGAATGAAAAACAACAAAAATTATTAGAAAAAATGTCTTTTCATATTGCAGAGATGTTTAATATATCCCTGGATGTCTACCCAAGCCACTGGTTTTTACAACACATATAGAAATGCACTGTGATGTTTATAAATTCATTACCCATTCTTATCTCCCACTAATAAAACCAAAAACAAGTAATAGCGAAGATTATTCTCTAAGATTGCACTGACATACTCTCCTAAATACATTTGTACTGGCCAGAAAATCTACCCTGTGTGCATTTGTTTCCACTTGTCAGAAACGCTTTTAAATAGAAAGGTTAATTCCTTTTTTTAAAAACTTCATTTTCTTAAAATGTCAGCTTTACAACTATTGAATCAGAGCAACCCCTTTGGCTCCCCTCCTGCTGTGGGAGCTTTTCTGTCCTCTCAAAAAAAACTATTGAATCATTCAGGTCGGTGGCTCAGCCTGTAATCCCAGCACTTTGGGAGGCCAAGGCAAGTGGATTGCCTGAGGCCGTGGGTTCGAGACCAGCCTGGGCAACTTGGCGAGACCTCATCTCCACAATAAATCAAAAATTAGCCGGGCATACACATGTGGTTCCAGCTACTTGGAAGGCTGAGATGGAAGGATCACCTGAGTCCAGCAGGTCGAGGCTGTGGTGGCCATGAGCATGTCACTTCTCTCCAGCCTGGGCAACAGAGTGAGAGTCCGACTGGAAAAAAAAAAAGAAAAGAAAAAGAAGTTTTAGGAAGGTTCCTTGTGAGAGGTAGTCTTGGGTTTAGGTTTTCAACAGGAAGTAAACATTGAGTAAAGGGCATTCCAGGTAGACAGAATGCCTTGAGTGAGGACAAAGAGGTGGAAGAATGCATGGCAGAAGATTTTTGGGGGCCGGGCACAGTGGCTCAAGCCTGTAATCCCAGCACTTTAGGAGGCTGAGGTGAGAGGATTGCCTGAGTCCTGGGGTTCAAGACCAGCCTGGGAAGCTTGGTGAGACCTTGTCTCTACAATAAATAAAAAAAAATTAGCTGGACATGGTGGCTCATGCCTATAGTTCCAGCTACTTGAAAGGCTGAGGCGGAAGGATTGCCTGAGCCTTGCAGGTCAAGGCTGCAGTGGCCATGAGTGTGCCACTGCACTCCAGCCTGGGCAACAGAGTGAGACTCTGATTAAAAAAAAAAAAGAAGATTTTGGGGAGAAAGTTTTAGTAATTCTAGTGTTATTTTCCCCTTTTTTGTGTGTGCCAGGTCTGTGTACCACCTGTATTATGATTTACATATTTCTTTGAGATGGCTCACTTCACTTAAAAATTAACTTAAAAAGGAAACAGCAATATACTAAATAGAAAATAATCTAATAGAAAGTAAGAGTTAAAAAAAAAACCCTCAAATACAAAGCATTATTAAATTCTAGCTAGATATTGCAGTTGGCTCAATACCTGAGGCCTGTTCTTTCTTTGTTAAGTGATGTTTCTTTAAATTTGTTTTCTAAAAATGATATTTTTTAAATCTTTAATGTAATCAGAAGGGTTGGCATCATACTTGCTGACATTTACTGATGCTTACTCAGCACTAGGCACTTTTCTAAGCACTTTATGCACACAGTTGTTGCTATTACAATCCGTTTTCAGGTTTTTGCCCAAGGCCACAGCACTGAGAAGTGGTATAACAGAATTGGAATGTAGGCAATGGGTTCCAGAACCCAAGCTCATTCATTGAGTTTGCTGTCCCCTGCATAGAATTGAAAGATAATTGTTTTCCTACTATGATTCACTGTGTCTGACAGACCCCTTTGAGAAATACTAGTTAAGGGTTAGACTTTGGATTTGAATTTTTGTCTAGTCTCTTTTTATTTGTACAACCTTGTCAAGTGACTTAATTCCCCCTCACTTAGTTGTTTCTTTGTCTTCTAAATGGGCATAATAATAACACTACTTCATAAGATTATTGTGGAGATTAAATAAATCGGTGACCAGTAAAAATTAGATTTTAGTAAGGTACAGGTTGTGATGATTTCCAATGATAAGCTGAAGAATATGAATTTTATTTTGTATGAAATGAGGAGCCATCACATGTTTTAGAGAAGGAAGGAACATAATCAAATCTCTTTTAAGAAGAGATTTCTAGGCCTGGCACAGTGGCTCAAGCCATAATCCCAGCACTTTGGGAGGCCGAAGCAAGAGGACTGCCTGAGCTCAGGGGTTCCAGACCAGCCTGGGCAACTTGGTGAGACCTTGTCTCTGGAATAATTCAAAAAAAAAATAGCCGGGTGTGGTGGTGCATGCCAGTGGTTCCAGCTACTTGGAAGGCTAAGGTGGAAAGATCATGGTTCCAGCAACTCAGAAGGCTGAGGTGGAAAGATCACCTGAGCCCAGTAGGTTGAGGCTGCAGTAACTGTGAGCATGCTGCTGCACTCCAGCCTGAGCAACAGAGTGAGACTTCGACTCAAAAAAAAAAAGAAGAGAATTCTGATAGAAACTTGGAAAAGAAAGTGAGAATAGGTAGGGGTTATTATAGTATAAGTAAAAATCAGTAATCTTTTCCTTCTGCCCTGATGCCTCTCCCTCAATCATGCAGTGATAGCATTTAGAAAAACACTTTTACTTTGGAACAGAAGTGACACTTAACAAAAATCAAAGTGATTATAAGAGACACTTGTCCTGATACCTGCTAAAGAGCATATACTTTTCTTGACCTATTTAGAGATAATCTTTGTACTTTGTTCAAGAAAGAAAGCATAACAGCAATATTTCTGGTTAACTGGGAGGTGGTGGTCAACTGTCTTTATAAAGCAATCACGAAGAAAATCATTACATGAATGTACCCCTATGAGAAGAGAAAAGCTATTAACCAGCTTCAGGAAGTGGAGATTTTCCAGAACATTGTGCCTTTTGTGGATTAGGTGACTAGAAATGGTGCTTATTTTCAATATTTATGTTTAAGAAAAAGACTACACTCCCACTAACTGGTTATATCCTGATAAGGTCAATTGGTCAACAAGAGTTTTTGTGCATGAAATTTGTAGGGAGCATACTTTTTGAAAATTCTGGGTCCTCTCCAGGAAGAAGTCAAATGTGTTGAACGTTCTGTCCCTGGCATTGGGATGGACGAGGTGTTGTCACTAATTAGCCAGTCAGCTCAGCACATTTCAGGATACTTGAGGACAAACCTTGAAAGATTTCAACATCGCATTGCTTTGCATTGCTTTCCAATTTGCTAGCACATCATCCAAATAGTTATAAATTTTTGAAATGATGTGACATAGATTAGGGGTGAGAATTATTATTAGAATGCTTCTAAGGTATGATTGCCCCCTGACTGGAAGTGAGAACACTTAAATTTTTTGGAGCCTAATGACTTGTCTGTGGATGGTAGAACTCTTACTCTTAGAAAGTATCAACTATCTTAGCCAGGCATGATGGCTCACACCTGTAATTCCAGCATTTCAGAGGGCAAGGCAGGAAGAGGATTGCTCGAGCCCAGGAGTTTGAGAAAATGTCAACTATCCAATTATTTTTGTGAACAAACTTCTTTAAATCTATAAGAGATAACTCACATAGCTCAGATGGACTCAGAGCTCCAGGACTTTTAATATTCTGAAAATACAAGAGTTTCTTTTTTAGTACTGTAAAGTTTTTGATAAATGTTAATGCATATAGGTTTTTTTAAATGTGGGGAGAATGGAAGTTACTTTGTACAGAGCCCAAAGCAGACAGCCTAATTCTATACAGGACAGTTAATAGCAATGAAACAGTGTTAGCAATGGTAATATTTAACCTGAGAAAGATTACAAATTAACAAGCTCAACAGTTATCTATTTGTGGGCTGATATGAATGCCAGGTAGTTGAAAGGAATTCCTAAACTTTCTGAATCCTATTACCAAGTTTAAACATATCTTCTTCAGCTCTCCAAAGCCCACACCATAAGCCAACAGGTCCTGCTAAAAAGATATTTATTGACAACCAAAGTTGTTTATGCCACTAAGCGATTAGAGAGAAAACTATCAATAAGTAGTTACAATGTGTCTGCTCTGTGCAAGGAATCACCTAGGCTACAGAGACATGGTAGACACTACCTACTTCTATGCTTAAGGAGTTTAGAGTCTAAGATACCCTGGAGGTAGGATAATAACAGGACTAGCTCTATATGGCAAGATCCTGTATGTGATATAAGAAAGGCTTAAACAGAGGACCCTCGGATGCAGAGGAAAGAAAGGCTTAGTTACTTACTCAGGGAAAATGTGTGTGTCTATTGATTTTTAGTATAGTTTTATTTATGGTAACAAAATATCAGAAGCAATGGTGACTGGTTAAATAGAGTATATCCATCTGGTGAAATACTATGTAGTTGTTAAAAAATAAAAAAGATTCATGCCGGGTTTGGTGGTTCACATCCGTAATCACCACTTTGCAAGGCTGGGGCGAGAGGATTGCCTAAGCCCAGGAGTTTAAGATCAGCCTGGGCAACATGGCGAGACCTCATCTCTACAAAAAATCAAAAAATTAGTAAGGTATGATGATATGTATCTGTAGTCCCAACTACTTGAGAGGCTGAGGCAGAAGGACCTCCTGATCTCAAGAAGTCATGGTTGTAGTGAGCCATGATTGTGCTACTGTACTCTGGTCTGGCGACAGAGTAAGACTCTGACTCAAAAAAAAAAAAGATGCATTCTACATATAGTTATGAAAAAAATCTTCAAGATATACTGTTGAGTAAAAAAAGCGTACCAAGATATTTGATATTCCATATTTTGTATAAAAGGAAAGAGAAAAATATCTGCTTTGTTCATATGTGCATGAAGAAACTTTGGAAGAAAACAAGAAGTATAAAAACAACAGTGATTCTGGCCTGGGAACTGAGCAAATGGGGAACAAGAATGGAAGGGAGAGACTTTTCACTGCAATTCTTTGTATATTTTCTGGATTTTTAAGCCATGTGAATGTTCTCTTATTCAACAGTAAATAAATAAATTATAAGAAAAAAAGATGTGGTCAAGAAGTCTACCCTTCAACAAGCAATTACTGATCTTGTCTGAGAATCACTACGTGCTTTTTAAAGTGCTCTTGGCATTGCATTTTTTGATTTTACAGCTTTACTGAGGTGTACATTACTTATAAAAATCACCCCTTTTAATCATAGAGTTCCGTGGGTTTTGGTAAATGTACAGAATTGTACATCCACTACCACCATCATATTTTAGAACATTTCCATCACCCCCAGAACATTTCCTTATACCCATTTGTGGTCACCCCAGCCTCAGACAACAACTAATTTACTTTCTGCTGCTATTGTCTTTTCTAGAGTTTCATACAAGTGAAATCAAACAGATAGGTAGTCTTTTGTTGGATCTGTCAGTGAGTTTGTGTGTTTTGGTTTTTTGCTATCCTAAATAATGCTGTTCGGAACTTCATGTAAAGTCTTTGGACATACATCTTCATTTCTCTTGGATAGTTGCCTAGGAAAGAAATTGCTAGGTTGTATGTTAAGCATATGTTTAAATTGTTAAGAAATGGCCAGACTATTTTCTAAAGTGGCCGTACTATTTTGCATTCCTACCAACAGTGTATGAGGGTTCCAGCTGCTCCATGTCATCACAGTGCTTGTTATCATTGAAGTCTTTTTAGGTGTAGTGATATCTTATCATGGTTTTGTGTTACATTTCCTAATGTCTAATAATGTTTAGCAACTTTCATGTACTCCTTAACTCTTTGTATATTATTTTATTTTGTGAGTTATCTTTTAAAATCGTTTGCTCATTTTCTATTGGATTGTCTTCATATCTTTTTTTGTTTTGTTTTGAGTCGGAGTCTCATTCTGTCACCTAGGCTAGAATACAACTGCATGCTCATGGCTACCACAGCCTTGACTTTCTGGGCTCAGATAATCCTTCCACCTCAGTCTTCCCAAGAGTAGCTGGAACTACAGGTGCATGCCAGCATGCCTGGCTAATTTTTTAAATTTTTTTGTAGAGATGAGATCTCACTGTGTTGCTTAAGCTAGTCTCAAACCCCTGGGAATCCTCTCGCCTCCACCTCCCAACCTGCTGGGATTACAGGTGTGAGTCACGGTGCCTAGCTTGTCTTCATGATGTTGAATTATAAAAGTTTTTCATGTATTCTGGATACAATTCCTTTATTAAATTTATGTTTTTGCAAATATTTTTTGTTCAATCTGTGACTTTTCATTTTCTTAAAGATGTCTTTTTATAAACAAACATTTGTAATTATAATGAAGTCCAATTTATCATTTTTAAAATTTTACAATTTATACTTCTTGTGTCCTATCAAAGAGTTATTTTAGCATTGAATTTTATGTTTTATACTTACATATCCACTGGTCTTGTTTCTTGCAGTCAAGCTGTGTTAGTCGACAGAACCCTCTACATTTCAGGACAGATTGGCATGAACCCTTCAAGTGGGCAGCTTGTGCCAGGAGGGGTAACAGAAGAAGCTAACCAAGTAAGTCATTTTCCACATTTGAAGTTCCCTTTACTACTACTTTTTAATGTTGGGGAGTATTAGGAATCCACTTACCTGATTTTTTTTTTTGCTGAGATAAACAGATAAATACTTTCTTTTTTTCTTTTTGAGTCAGAGTCTCACTCTGTTGCCCAGGCTGGAGTGCAGTGGCACGCTCACAACAGTCACTGGTCACTGTTGCCTTGACCTGCTGGGCTTAGGTGATACTTCCGCTTCAGCCTTCCAAGTAGCTGGAACTACAGGCACGTGCCACCACGCCTGGCTAATTTTTTGATTTATTGTAGAGATGAGGTCTCGCCAGGTTGCCCAGGCAGATGTTAAACCCCTGGGCTCAGGCAATCCTCTTATTCTCATTTCTGCCTCTCAAAGTGCTGAGATTACAGGCGTGAAGCACTGTGCCTGGCTGATAAATGCTTCTAAACTACTTACTGCTTGATTTAAGACAGCTTTTGATTTAAGAGTTGGAAATTTGGTGAATTACTGAACAAACAGAAAAGAGATTCCACCTCCTTATCACTAAGGTGATTTTGCCACTTCCACATGGATTGGGAAATTTTCTTTTCAGGGACACTGACCTGCCCCAAAAAAGAAAAACCCACAGAAGTAAAACATCAACAACAACAACAAAAAAAAGGGAATATAACTCTAATCCAATAAATAGACTTAAGCTACAATTTAATGCATTTACTGAGTAATTTATAATACCCAAAGATAGAAAACAATTTAAATGTCTAACCATAAGGAACTGGTTGACTATATCATGCTAGATCCATACAACTAAATTGCTGTGGGGGGATCTCCAAGGTAAATTGTTACATGATAAAATAAAACCAAGGTGCGGAAACCCCAGAAATCATTTCTGTTTCAGCTTAATGGACATTGACTGAATACTGATATATTTTTCTGACAAAGGGACTTCAACCCAAATCTTTTTGTTCGCTAAAGGAGATAACCTTCTCACTGTATTTCAGAAAGATTCATTCCATTAAAAAAAAGCAAAGAAACAATTCAATTGCATAAAATCATCCTGAAAAGAGTAGGGAGAATTTTTCTGTAACATAAGCTGTTTAAGGAGGCATTAGTAAAAGGTGATTAACTGAATTTAATTAAATCTTTAAATAGAGTATCAGTGTCTTAGGCCTTTCTTGTCTTGCTTCACAGGCTCTTAAAAACATGGGTGAAATTCTGAAAGCTGCAGGCTGTGACTTCACTAATGGTAAGCAACTTATATTACATCACATTTCTGTTTGATATTTTACTCTTTTGAAAAACATATGGCATCCAGCAGTATGTCATGCCATATCTTTGTTGCTTTTTAAAGTTGTTTTCATGGTCTGGGAAACAACACCATTCTGCTTCACTTCTTCAGTCCCATTTCAATCCCATTTTAATCAAGACAGTCTTAGAATCATAGACTGTTTTTCTAAGTAATTAAGGTTTTGGATCAGACCAAACTGCTAAACCTAATGACAATGTATATATCTTCTAGTGGTAAAAACAACTGTTTTGCTGGCTGACATAAATGACTTCAATACTGTCAATGAAATCTACAAACAGTGTAAGTAATTTGGCTTTATTCCTATTTTCTGTTTTTAAAAAGAAATGAATCTGTTAACATAAGTGAATGTCCATTATGAATTAAGAGTAATAGAAGATGCTAAAGAAATGGTCATAATCCTATCCTAAAATAATTCATAATCTGGTTGAAGCACACAGTATAACCCCATGAAAAAATCTAAGGCATTTCTATTGCATTCCCTAAAACAATATACTGAAACCCTACATATCTCTTTTCCTAAAGCTTAATTTTGTTAAACCCTTCTCAGGGTTTCTAAGCCCGCCTAAAATGTTTTATGTGTATAAGTTGTATTTTGTTATATGGTCCAGCCACCATCTTTATTTTGGCTCTCTCAGAATCATTAGTTACTTAACGTTTTTATGCCTTGGTTTTCTCATATGCAAAATGGGGAAATATACCACCACCTTAGGGTGGTTGGAATGATTAATTGAGTCAATACAACACATAAAGATGCTAGAACAGATGCTGGCATATTATATGCACTGAGTAAATGTTAGCTATTATTAACATTGTTGTAGTAGGGAAAAGAGGTGTGCCTATTACCTAGTGGGATGAGACAAAGGTATGACATGAAAAATGCATCTTTACTTACTCTCTTCTTAAGAAATGACTAGAGAAGACCAAAATTAACAGAGAAAGTACTTATCAAAATTGCTGGGATGGACAGTTGTTCCCTATTAAGATAACTAATTTGTAAATATCACTTTAAAAACAAAACCCCATTCACGTCGAACACAATCAGAGTGTCAGCGTATGTATTTCATTTTTGTCCCCAGAGAGTTAAGACATTTAGCTGGGCTCGGTGGCTCAGCCTGTAATCCCCGCCTTTGGGAGGCTGAGGTGAGTGGATTGCCTGAGCCCGCGGGTTTGAGACCCGCCTTGGCAGGTGAGACCTCATCTCAACAATAAATCAAAAAATTAGCCGGGCGTGGTAGCGCACACCTGCAATTCCGGCTGCTCGGAAGGCTGAGGCGGAAGGATCGCTGGAGCCCGGCAGGTCGAGGCTGTGGTGGCTGGGAGCGGCCACTGCACTCCAGTCTGGGCGACAGAGTGAGACTCCAACTCAAAAAAAAAAAAAAAAAAAAAAAGACATTTAGAAAAGTATTATATATCATAGGAATCATATGGCAATTTTTTTAGCTAACAAATCTGAATGTGAGCTGCTTTTTTTCTAAATGTTGCTTATATCTGAGAACTACTTAGTGTATGAAGCACTTGCCAGATTCTTGATTATACAGTGTTAAATATCAATACAATGTCTGAAACTAAAATAAAATTTTTTTAATTCAGATTTCAAGAGTAGTTTTCCTGCTAGAGCTGCTTATCAGGTTGCTGCTTTGCCCAAAGTAAGTATGCTTTAAGATAATGAATGTAAATAATTATATAGGGGACCCCCAAAAAAACCTGGAATTGTTTTTTGGAGGGTGGGCCTTTTGTAGATAAGTGTTTTAGGAACCCATCGACATCAGTGTACCAGCTACTGTTGTGAGAAGCTGCATTTGGCTTCAGTGAATTTTTTGGAGATTTCTTTCAACATGTTTGCCCATTTCACACTGGGTGATTTACAAGCACACTTGCCCATACCTCACTGAGTGTTCAGCAGGTTTTGTCCAAAAAACGGCATAACCCCCGTGCTGCACCCTCCCTATTTACCCACTCTCTCCCCCGGTGACTTTTTTTTGTTTGATGAAAAAAGTCCTCAAAGGGAAACATTTTGCCAATGTGGAAGAGATGAAACAAGAAATGGCAGAAGCACTTTAAAAGGCATCAAAATTAACAAGTTCGAAAATTGTTTTGAGCAGTGGAAAAAGTATCTCATTAGATATATTGCATCAAATGACGAGTTCTTTGAAGGTGACTAAAGTTTAAACATGTAAGCATAAATGCACAATTTCTTATAAATAAATTCCAGGTTTTTTTGGGTCCCCCCCCTTATACATTTCTCCACTGCTTTCTGAATATAACAAATTAAGCACTGTGAGGGAAAACTTGAAAATAAATAGGCAGAGCATGGTGGCTCACACCCGTAATGCCTTAGCTTTAGGAGACTAAGGCAGGAAGATTGCTTAAGGTTAGGAGTTAAAGACCAGTCTCAAAAAAAAATTAGAAATAAAAAAATTAGCCAGGCATGGTGACACATACTTGTAGTCCTAGCTACTCGAGAGGCTGAGGCAGGAGGAGCACATGAGCCCAGGAGTTTGAGGTTTCAGTGAGCTATGATTTTGCCACTGTCTTCCAGCCTGGGTGATAGAATGAGAACTTGTCTCTTAAAAAAGAAAAAAGAAAAAAAAAAAAGACAGTCCCTGTTCCCCAGGAACCTAAAGTCTAAAGAAAATACCCCATATCACACGCATGGAAAAAGTTGAGAAACTTTGTAAGATAGCATATGAGCATGAACATAACAGCGTAATTAAATTGTGAGAAAAAGTAAAATAGCAGCTGTGTTGTTATAATGCTACTTAGGGAACTATAAATTTCAGCCAAGTTTGTGAGTTCTGCAGTAAAAATTTCACTCGGCTAGTGTGTAATAAAAAAATCTAGACCTTCCACTAGAAAAATAATCTCTAAACCCGTGACACACATATTTCTCACCATTCTGATTTTGATATTCTAACTAGAATCTGTGTCTCTTAGCAGCACAATAACTAGAATCTAACTAGAATCTGTGCCTCTTAGCAGCACAATATTCCTGCCTATAAAGAAGCAGCTCTTATTGACTTCCACTCATAATTTTCTACTAAAGAAAATTTGTTTCCAAGCAATGGCATTTTATTGTTTTAATTAGTTGTTACTTGGAATGATTGATCATTATCAAACTTATTAAGGTATTATGTGTAGTAGAAAGAACTCTGAACTTGGAATCACAAGACAAGGGTTTGAGTCTCTGCTATCTAACTTGTGTCTTGGGATGGGTTAATTAACCTTTCTAACTTTCAGTGTATCATTCTGTGAACTAAGGGGAAAACATCTATCTGATGGAACTGCTGTGAGAATCATATGAGCTAATATAGTATATGAATATGCCTTGCATGGTAACCTGGCCTACTGTAGGTTCTTGGTGAATAGATCTTCTCCTTTCCTTCTTTGAAAAGTTAAGCCAGGCACCCTGGCTCACACCTGTAATTCCAGCACTTTGGGAGGCTGAGACAGGAAGATTGCTTGAGCCCAGGAGTTCGAGACCAGCCTGTACAATATAGTGAGACCTCATCTCTACAAAAAAAATCAAAAAATTAACCAGGCATCATGACACTTACCTGTAGTCTCAGCTACTCAAGAGGCTGAGGCAAAAGGATCTCCTGAGTCCAGGGGGTTGAGGCTGCAGTGAGTCATGATCATGCCACTGCCCTCCATCTTGGGTGACAGAGTGAGACCCTGACTTAAAAAAAAAAAAAGAGGGCCATTGCCTTACTATACTCTGGTATCATGCTCTTTGAGCTATGGCCATGGCCATGTTTCTTGGCTTTTACCCCCTCCCCTCCCCTACCTTGGGAAGGTGAATCTCCTCTTTCTCTCTCTAATTTACTTCCTAAATAAACTACATTTTCTAATCGAAAGAGAGAGAGAAAGAAAGAAAAAGAAAAGTTGAATATTAAAAATGTTGTATTGTTGTTAGCTGCATGTTTTTAGTAGGTATTATGGGGCTCTCAGTTTGTACAAAACATTGTTTCATTGTTTTCCTCACAGGGAGGCCGAGTTGAAATTGAAGCAGTGGCTGTCCAAGGACCTCTCACAACAGCATGACTATAAGTGGGACCAGTGTTGTTTAGTCTGGAATTTTTAACATCTTAATTTTTACAGTTGATGTAACATCTTAATTCGCATCTTAATTTTTACAGTTGATGAAAGTATAAGTTTGACTAAAATATCTGACATTAGGGGCATACCAGGACAACCATATGATAGGGAAAATTGAGCATGAATCGAAGAATAGATCGTGAATCCAATGTTATAAATTATACTTATGTACACCCATATTACTGAATATAGGAAAGAGATACTCATTACTTAGTTATTCAGGTAAATAAAGGGGAAATAACATGTGGGAAAGATGAGGTATTGTTCTAGAGAAATAACCAAGAGCACACCTAATTTAAACTAATCTAATGATGTGAAATATTTAGTTCTCATGTCAGATATGTGATTCTGCTTTTGCTTGATTAAAGCATTTAAATTTGAATGGTAGAGATCAAGGAGAAAAAAGTGGACCAAAATTTTATATAATTAATTAATATTTTTCTAATGGAAATAAAATAGACATGCAGATATCCCTTGGTGTGATTTTGTTCACTTATTTTTGAACAGCTTTAATTTATGCATTAAGACATATTGCCTAATAAAGGAAGGGTGTGAAGTTAACTATTTCATTTCTCAAAGCTTATGCCTGACTTTGCAATTTTTGTAAAGTCTTTGAACAATTTTAGACAATTATTATGTGAAAACCTCCATATTGTAGAATAAATTCCGACATAGAATTCTATACTCATAGATTAAAAAGTAAAAGTCAACCTGGCATGGTGGCTCACTCCTGTAATCCCAGCACTTTGGAAGGCTGAGCAGAGAGCATTGCTTGAGTCCAGGAGTCCAAAACCAGCCTAGGCAACATAGTGAGACCCATCTTTAAAAAAAAGGTAAAAGTTTTCTTCACTCATTCTCCATTACATTTACCTTCCCAAAGAGAACAAACCACTTGCTAAGGGTTTTGGTTGTAACTGACAGCTTTCTATTCATTATATACTCGATTACCTGGTTTGGTTTTATCTTAATGACCTAAAAAAAAAAGTTTATTGTTGTAACTATCTGTCCTTGAATGTTTAATAGAGTTTGCTTATAAAACTGGGCTGAGTATTTTCTTTGGGGAGAAGTTGTAAACTGATTCAGTATCTTTCATGGTGACAACATTCAGATTTTCTGGTCTTCAGTCAGTTTTTGGTTTTTAGTCAGTGTTGTAGAATTTGTGTATTTCATCTATATTTTCACATTTGTAGGCATCTTTTTAATCTCTGCTCTATCTGAATTCAGGTGCCCCTTTTTCATCTCTAATATGGTTTATTTGGACTTTTTTTTTTTTCTTTATCAGTCTTTCCCAGAGGTTTATCAATTTGATTAATCTTTTTCTTTTTTGAGAAAGCAGGATTTATTAAGAGGACAGAAAAAACTCCCACAGTGGGAGGGGACCTGAAGGAGTTGCCACTGGTTAATCTTTTAAAGAACCAGCTTTTTAGCTTTGTTGATACTATTATATGTTTATCATTAATTTCTTCTCTTATATTTATTAGTTTCTCCAGCTCATTTACAAGACACCTTTTTCTACTTTTAATATTGACTCTTTTATTTGTAAATGACAGAAACTCAACTCAAGCTTGTATTAAGTGGAAAAAGGAGGGATTCATCAGCTCAGGTTACACAGAATCCAGAGAACAGCTGACTTAAGGCACATGTGGTCCAGACATCTCACGGTTCCATCTGACTCTTGGGGAAAGACACTGCAGGACGAGACATACACCCCAGCAGAAAGATATCATTTCTTGATATCTCTGGCAGGAGAACCTCAGGGACACCTCTGACTGGTCCACCTCAGGACCCATTCCTAAGCCAAAGCCAGGAAATTAGACACTCTGAGCAGTCTGGGCTTAAGGGGTGTGGTTACAGATAGGCCACAATTTCAAAATCAAACCCTAGAATGAAAGAGCTGGAAATAAGATGCTGGTATCCAACTTAATTGACCTGTTAGGGGCTAGGTCTGGATTTTGAGTCTTTTTTCCACACTGAAGGAAAATCACTAGATCTTGTTAAAATGTGAGGCGGGGGATGCACATTGGTCTTTCAAACATAAAGATACAGCAGTCTCTTTGAAGTGTGAAGTAATTAAAAAGAGTCACCCTTATTTCCTTGCTATTGTCATATTCCTTCCCTTTGACAGAGTGTGTGTGTGTATGTGTGTGCATGTGTGTGTGTGTACTTTTTTTTTTTTTTTTTTAAAAGACAGGGTGTTGCTCTGTTGTCCAGGCTGGAGTACAGTAGCACAACCATAGCTTACTGTAACCTCAAAATCCTGTACTCAAGTAATCCTCCTACCTTGACCTCCCAAATCATTGGGATTATTGGCAGAGAATGTAATTTAAAATCTGCTTTTTTTCTGAAGCATACAATGAATAAAAATAAATTTTATGTTTCTGTAAAAACAATTCAGATAAAAAATACACCAAATAGACTTTCTACCACTTTATTTGTTCTAATAATATATTTATTCAATCAAAACTATAAATGTTGAACCAGTAGTACAAAACAATTTCACAAAGTTTTGGCCATAATTCTCCTGATAGCCAATTATTTTTAGTTCTAAGGAAATTACCATGATCACATAAGAATAAAGAGCATTTGTCATCAATACATATTACAAGGATGCCAAATTTGTACTAGGCCTTCTGGGGAAAATGAAGAAGTATGAGCTACCTTTCCTGCCCTCAAAAGAGCTTACAATCTCTCTCATCATTTGTTCAGCAATTGAAAAGCATTAAAAACGATTCCAGTGAAGCATTCCATTTCAGTGAATTACTCATCCAGCAAAACGCATAAATTGTGATCAGCTAAGTGCTAATATATATGGGCACAGTTGCTTCTCTATAGCACTGATCAATATTTAGTAATAGAGTATGTATTCCTGGAACATTCTCTATAACTTGTTATCGCCAATAGACTCAAGCAGGGAAAACCCAGAAGTGCTGTGTTCATTTAATTCCCTAAATAGACTTAAAGTTCTACTGATAGTTGGGCTTTGGCTAACTTGTTGCAACAATCCTTGTTGTAATAATCCTTCATATACATCAACATGCTAACAGTGATCATTTTTGACTGACTGAATTACAGATAATATTTAGATCTCCTCTTTTACACATTTCTGTTTTCTGAAGTTTTTACAATGAGTATATATTCATTTTATACTAAGAAGTAATTATTTTAATAACAAATCCTTTGCAATTATTGCCAAGTAATCATTGTGTCACATTTAAGTACCTAGATAGAAAATGTTATTTTTTTTAAAGTTCTTTAAAAATTCTGATACCCAGAAAATTTGAAACTAATTTACACTGATCCACTAAATAACTACTAGTTGAAATCAACTATTAGTTTATCCTCCACAGAACTGCTAAGGGTGCAGTGACGGTTGGAAAAGTTACAGATGGACCTTTGACTTTCTTATGAGGGGCTGGGACCCAAACTTTCTCTCCAACCCAAAACCACTCTACAACAGGACGGCTGCCATAGAACGCCTCTTCTCTTATCATTGAATAATTTTTTTTAAAAAGTGTTTGGGCCAGGTGAGGTGGCTTATGCCTGTAATCCCAGCACTTTGGAAGGCTGAGGCAAGAGGATCACTTGAACCCAGGAGTTTGAGACCAGCCTAGGCAACATAACAAGGCCTTGTCTCTACCAAAAAAAAAGGTTTTTTTTAGCTAGGCATGATAGTGCAAGCCTGTAGCCCAACTACTCAGGAAGCCGAGGCAGAAAGATCACCTGAGCCTAGGAAGTGGAGGCTGTGGTGAGCCTTGATCATGCCACTGCACTCCAACCCACAAGAGTGAGACCCTGATTTAAAAAAAAAAAAAGTGTTTAGAATCAGGGTCACATAAATCCATTCACTACAACACACATTTTTTTTCACACATATATATGATAGTATGAATGATACTTTACTACAGTTTATTAAGAAATTTTTAAGAAGCTATATTCTACACAAAAAAATGAAGCAGATCTCAAAACAAAATTAGTATCCCTAATTGGTTTCTCAGCACTCTTTTTATGGAAACTGGTGAGGTTTGCAGATCTCTGTCTGTGGTGGATGGGAGTGGTATGTTTATTAAGGTCACCAGCACATTATTAAACTGAAAGACTACTTTAATATAGTATAGACTGGCCTTTCTTCCTCCTTCAGAAGTTAATAAAACCTGGCTCTGAAGTCTGGAAACCATTTCAACACAGGAATAATGATATGGTTGTTAGCTTTCAACATCTCAAACATCCCCCAATGAATTTGCTGAGTGGTATTACTGAAGTTAAAGCAAAAGCCCTCCAATTTGACCATACATGGATTGGTAATGGTGGGGAGTTTCCAGTTTTTGGTTGATAGTAACGGGATAGAAAAGAGAAATTCTACACCTGTCATCTGCTCTCTCAGATTCTGCTTCAGCAATTAAAGCCTTAAGATTATAATCAAACACTCATAATTCTATAAGCTCTGGGGATGTGAGGAGATGACATCGCTTTAGACATGACATTTTGCAAACAAACACTTTCAACTTTTCAAACACAGCCACACCTTGCTACCTTACAAAAGAGTGTGGGCAAATGTATGGCTTTAAGACATCCACATCACTGACCTTTGTGAAACAGAATTCAGAATTGGAGCACCAAACTATCTTTATAAAAGTGGCATGTTGGTCATCTCTAACAAGCTATTGTATTTGCCAAAAGAGCGTAATGTAAACCCTACTAGGGTTATTTGACCATGACCATGCAACATTCTTTAACTAGTTACATGTGGAAAAAACATTTTCCCTTAAAAGCAATTCGTAATTCAAGGCCAAGTTTGGAATAAAGCATCTGTTAAGAGTGATGTGGGTGTTTTGACTGCTTAAAACATGATAAGAGTTCTTACTCTAAAATCTAAATTTAAAAAAACAGTAATGAGGCTGGGCTCAGTAGCTCAGCCTGTAATCCCAGCACTTTGGGAGGCCTAGGTGAGTGGATTGCCAGAGCCCATGAGTTTGAGACCAGTCCGGGCAACTTGGCAAGACCTCATCTCTACAATAAAGAAATAAAAATTAGCTGGGCATGGTGGTGCACGCCTATAGTTCTGGCTACTTGGAAGGCTGAGGCTGAAGGATTGCCAGAGCCCAGCAGGTCGACACTGGGGTGGCTGTGAGTATGCCACTGCACTCCAGCCTGGGCAACAGAGTGAGGCTCCAACTCAAACAAAACAAAAACATAGCAAAATAGTAATAGCCAGGCACAGTAGTTAATGCCTGTAATTCCAGCACTTAGGGAGGCCAGGTCTAGAGGATTGCTTGAGCCCAGGAATTCGAGACCAGCCTAGGCAATAGCGAACCCTTGTCTCTACAAAAATAAAAAATTAGCCAGGAGTAGTGGTTACACGCCTATAGTCCCACTACTTGGGAGGCTGAGGCTGAAAGAATGCATGAGCCCCAAAAGTTGAGGCTGCAGTAAGCTGTGATCATGCCACTGCACTCTAACCTGAACGACAGAGCAAGATGCCGACTCAAAAAACTGTAAGGTAGCTGTAAGATAACAGGTTGACCACACATGTCTATCCTGCAGCTTGCCAAGAGTTTTGGAGTCTGGTCTGGTTGTTTCCTAGATTGGCAGCTGACACCTCCTGCTGGTAAATGTTAATGTTCCTCTCTGCTATGGATGCAAGTTGGGAAATTTGCTCACCATTTCTCTCCCAGTTAGGTTCAGAAAATAATGAAATTATCTTAATTAATAGAACACAAACCAGACTGCAAAGTGGCTGCACAGCACCCCAGAGATAGAAAAATCCAGCCCTGATGGCAGTTTTTCTATGAGTTTATTATGAACAGTTCAAGCCTTTGTCTGCCTTGTGTATTTTGAATCTGGGGGCAAACTGATCACCTCCTTTCAGGACCTGGGGACTTGGGATCACAACACGTGTTGCTCTTCTAAAACTATCCATCTCAGGCAAAATTTAAAAAAATGGTATCAACAGAAAGGATAAATCAGTGGTTTTACATGCACTTTTCACAGTGTAAGGACTATGTAATTTGTCATCTGTGTTTTAAAATGTGAATATGAAAATATACACTTATATTTTAGCATATGCATACAGCCTGACATATACATGTACCCTTTTTCTGGAAGTATATGCAAGAAACTTTATCATTTTTTCATGAAAGGATAAAGAATATGAAAGGGAAAAAACTTCACTGCCTCTTTTAGACTCTCTGTATTGGACTTTTACTTTAGGTATTTATTACTTGTCTTTAATGAACAGATTACTTAGGTAGAATATTTACATTTTGAAAAATTCTAATATTATGGAATATTTTCATTTTCTTTATAGAAATGAAAACTGAATTTTAAAACTGAATATTATCTAAAAGAATTTTAAAAATTCTAAAAATGTCTTAGTAACTACATTAAAGGCTCAAGACAAAGGTATAGTAAGTACCAGAAATTTATACAAACTTTCAAAATTTTCCTGAGAATAAATGATTTTTTTATTTTTTATTTTTGAGTTGGAGTCTTACTTTGTTGACCAGGCTGGAGTGTAGTGGCACACTCACAACCATTGCAGCCTCAACCTCCTGGGCTCAGGTGATCCTTTTGCCTCAGCCTTCCAAGTAGCTAGAACTACAGGCTTGCACAACTGCACCCAGCTAATTTTTTTATTTATTGTAGAGATGAGGTCTCACCAAATTGCCCAGGTTGTTCTCGAACCCATGGGCTTAGGCACTTCTCTTACCTCAGCCTCCCAAAGTACTGGGATTATGGGCATGAGCCACCACACCCAGCCAAGAATAAATGATTTTAGTCACTAGTAGAAATTAATAAGATTAATAAACAATTTGGAAAACTTTTACATTGGAACTATATAGTGCTTTCTGAGAGTTTTTTTTTTTCTCCCAAAAATGAGTTCTGCATAGATCTCTTTAACAATTGTTAGAGATTTTTTTTAAAAAGTCTACTCGATGGAGAATGGACCTTTATGCCCATTAATTAAATTGATACTCTTATTTCAGTGCTTGATGCAAAGGACAATTCTACTCATTAAGGTAAACATTCATATTTTACACTTAAGCCCTGGCATTTTTCTACTTCCTAGATATCTGTATTAAAATACCTTCTGGTCAGGAAAAAACAAAGGATTTTAAAATGTAGCTTAAAAGATAAGTTATGTCAGTTCCTGATTTTATAACTTTCTGACAAAAAATATTGCTACTTTGGAAACTACACCAAATATGTTGCTTTTTATTGGGCTTGAGCAGTCTTCACATGAAAATGATTTTCCTCAATTTCCCAGGTGGGACTGAGGTAGTGTTACACAAATTCATATTTAAAACGTATTATTTTTTAATGAGTTAAGTGTAAATGGGAACCCATGGTATTTATTATTCATGTATGGATTCAACAAATATTTGTTGAGTACCTATCATGTTCTAATAAAGGAGTTAGATGCCTGAATTCAAAATACATAAAGCACAGTGCTTACTTTCAATTATATCACTATCTAACACTTGTTTACTTTGCAGAAAGGAATTCCTACTCCAGGAACTTTTTTTTTTTTTAATTTGCTGTTGTTGTTGTTGTTACTGAGTTGGCATCTCACTCTGTCTGTATCCCAGGCAGGAGTGCAGTGGCACAATCATGACTCACCACAGCCTCAACCTCCCAGGTTCAGAAGATCCTTCCTCCTCAGCCTCCCAAGTAGCGGGAACTACAGACACACATGCCACCACACCCAGTTAATTTTTTTATTTTTTGTAAAGATGAGGTCTTGGTACCCCAGGCTGGTCTCGAACTCCTGGGTTCAAGCAATCCTCCCACCTCAGCCTCCCAAAGTTGAGACTACAAGCTGAGATTACAAGCATGAGCCACTGTGCTTGACCAGGAATTCCTCTTATTGTCTATCTCAGCACTTTAAAGTCAGAAGCATAAACTATATTAAAAGTAGATGAAAGATTATATACTCCACCCTGTATCCTGTATTCTTATCATTAATTATAGGTCATCTCAGTAGTCATTTTAATGTAGAAACTAAAATAAAAGAGTCTGGTAAATTCATCAAGCAGTTACCTTAAAATACATATTTACAAATAAGATAAAGAAACCAAATGTTTCCAGAATTCTATTCTGATATTCATAAACACAAGACACTTAATGGTGGGCAAGTTAGCTATCATTAATATTACCACAAATAATTATTTACTAAAACCCCTTGAAATAATTCTTAAAAACTAACTTGCCACACACAGTGACTCATGCCTGTAATCCCAGCACTTCAGGAGGCAGCGGCAAGAGGATTGCCTGAGTCAAGGGACTCAAGACCAGCCTGGGAAACTTGGCAAGACCTCAGCTCTACAATAAACTTAAAAAAAAATTAGCTGGGCATGGTGGCATATGCCTGTAGTTGAAGCTATTTGAGAGACTGAGGCAGAAGGATCCCCTGAGCCCAGCAGGTCGAGGCTGCAGCGGCTATGAGCGTGCCACTGCACTCCAGCCTGGATGACAGAGAGACATCAACTCAAAAAAAACCCCACTGACTCTATGGTGCATTATTTTAACACTAATGAAATATTATAAATGCTTTTAAAATCTTGATTTCTTAGCTCTTTCCACCTCTAAAGCCTAATATTAAATCGCAATCATCTAAAAAAATAACAGAGTCCAGGACTAGACTCCACATAAGCAACAAATCTAGGTTTTGATCCTTGCTGTTTATTGTTCCCAAGATATATTTAAAAGTTAGTTAATTTCAAATACATTTAATGTTACTTAAAAAGATAGCACCAAATGAAAAACCTCCCATGAGTGTAAAATCAACAGCTAATTCAAAATGGCACATGGAAAATGTGTCACCTTTCATTGTGAAAAATGCCAAATCTTGCAATAGCACCAGAGTTTGCATTCCTTTGAAAAGGATTTTGTTAACATATTTAATATGCCATGACACATATTAAATTAAGGCTCTGTGATAGTAGACAGCCTTAAAGGCGAGAAGGTAATTGGATGACATACTCTCTAAGCTTCCTGCCAGTTCTAAATGTTGGGTTCGGAGAGAAAACTAGGTATAGCACTTCCTGTTGTTTGCTGTTGCTTATTCATATGCCTTTTTGGTTATAGCTGTGCGGCTTTATTACTGTGAATTCTCTAAAATTTGCTTACGCCTTTCTCCAACCTAAAAGTTTACATAAAGATTACATAATGGTATTAGTAAATAATTTGGAAAACTTGCACATTGGAACTATATCATGCCTTTTGAGAAAGAGTTCTTTTAAGAATAAGTTCTGAATAGAGTTTTAAACAGAAAAAGGTTTACACTTTGTTATCAGGGTCTCATTTTCTCTACTGAATAGGTTCATTGCCACCATGAAGAAACTCACCCTCATACTCCTAAATGATCTTATACTCAAATTTTTATTGACCTGGCTACCATAGTTTTAAATGGATAACTAGTCTAAGTAGCTAAGAAAACTATTTACAGTGTAGCAGTTTTGTGGAACAATGTCATCAAGAACATGAAAGCATCCTTCTTATGGTTCAGCAGTCTGTCTATAACCCCACTCTTTGTACAAAACGTGTAGATGTAGGAAAATAGAGTCCATGACCACAAGTTTCCCTGCCACTTTTCTGTCTTCTCTATTACAACACACTGCGTTCGTTCACTCTTCTGTCACCATGCCTATCTATGCGGCTGCTGAGAGATCCACAGCTTCTCCTGTTTCTTCTTCTTTTGTTTCAGCCCCTTCATTTACTTTCTCATTCTCCATCTCTGTTTCCACCTTCTCCCCGGTCTCTCCTGGAAAAGTAACAAAAGGAAGTATAAAGAGATACTCATTTAGCGTTAACGATAAATTACTCCCACACTTTGTGGGGGTCATTCTTGATTTTTAGATCTAAACAGTAAGGTTCTCTTGTGGCATCAAGAAAGATAATCGCCCTGATTCTCTCAGAACCTCTGAATGACCGATATCAAGTCACTTAACATCTCTGAGTCTTGGCATACTCCTGTAAAACAAATTTTCTCTACAGTATGAAATCAGGATACAAAATTACCCAAGGAATGGCAGTACAACATATACAATAAAAAATGTCGTGGTTGGGTACGGTGATTCACACACATGTGCAGTGCTTTAGGAGGTGGAGGTGGTGGGATCACTTGAGGTCAGGAGTTCAAGACCAGTCTGGTCAGAGTAGCAAGACCCCTATCTCTACAAAAAAAATATTAAAAAATTAGCCAGGCTTGGTGGCATGCACCTGTAGTTTCAGCTATGTAGGAGGCTGAGGCAGGAAGATTGCTTGAACCCAAGATATTGAAGTTACAATGAATTTTTTTTTGTTTTTGTTTATTTTTGAGTTGGAGTCTCACTTTGTGGCCCAGGTTAGAGTGCAATGGAATGCTCACAGCTATTGCAGCCTCAACCTGCTGGGCTCAGGCAATTCTTCTGCCTCAGCCTTCCAAGTAACTGAAATTATAAGCACGTGCCACCATGCCTGGCTAATTTTTTTTAATTGTAGAGATGAGATCTCGCCAAGTTGCCCAGGCTGGTCTCAAACCTGTGGGCTCAGGCAATCCTCTTGCGTCTGCCTCCCAAAGTGCTGGGATTTCAGGCATGAGCCACCACGCCTGACCAATGATTGCACCACTGCACTCTAGCCTGGATGACAGTGTGTCTACAAAAAAAAAAGTTTCATTTGTATCTAAATCAAAAGGTGGTCCAGGGAGCCCCAAAACTTGTCTTGTTTGGCCATTATAGTGTTTAAAAAGAACAATCATTAAACACCATGTATTACTATATTTTTGAGTTAGTCTCACTCTGTCACCCAAACTGGAGTGCAGCAGCACAATGATGGCTCACAGCAGCCTTGACTTGCTGGGCTCCGGCGATCCTTCTGCCTCAGCTGGACTACAGATGTACCGCCACACCTGGCTAATCTTTTAATTTTTATGGAGATGAGGTATTGCTATGTTGCCCAGGCTGGTCTCAAACTCCTGAATTCAAGCAATTCTCCCACCTAGTGGTATTACACTACACCTAGTGGTATTAATGTATTACACCTATTGGTATTAATGCTAGTATTACAGGCATGAGAAACTGCACCCAGATTTATTTATTTTTTTGTTAAGATGGGATCTTACTATATTGCCCAGGCTGTAGTGCAGTAGCTATTCACAGGTGTGATCATAGTTCACTGCATCCTCAATATCTTGGCCTCAAGCAATCCTACCACCTCAGCCTCCAACCCCCCCTCCCCAAGCCCCAGTAGCTGGGACTCCAGCAGTGTGCCACACCCAGCTCATTAAACATTTGAAGACTGCCAACATTTACATGTCTAGACATTGTACACACAACTCTGTTTCCCTTCAAAGTTGGCTTTGACAACATTGGCCCCCATTCCTATGGTTGGAGCCAGGCAGAGCTGCCTCTTTTGCAGGGCTGTGCTCTCTTGTCCACCAAGTCCCCCAGCTCCCACTGTATTACATGTGTCCTTCACATCACTCATATACAGTATCTTAGGACTCAAGACTTTTGAGTTTGCCAACCCTGGTCTGAAAAATATCTGGGTTCGGATCAGTGGCTCACACCTGTAATTCTAGCACTTTGGGAGACTAAGGCAGAAGGATTACTTGAGTCCAGGAGTTTGAGACTAGCCTGGGCAACATAGCAAGGCCTTGTCTCTACAAAAAATCAAACAATTAGCTGGGCATAGTGGCGCGAGTTTGTAGTCCCAGCTACTCAGAAGGATGAGGTGGAAGGATCATCTGAGTCTAGGAGGTTGAGGCTGCAATGAGCTGTGATTGTGCCACTGCACTCCATCCTGGGTGACAGAGTAAGACCCCAGGCTCAGCCTGTAATCCCACGCTTTAGGAGGCAGAGGTGAGTGGAATGCCTGAGCCCATGAGTTCAAACCTGCCTGGGCAACTTGGCGAGACCTCATCTCTACAATAAATCAAAAATTAGCTGGGCGTGGT